AGAGAGAGAGAGAGAGAGAGAGAGAGAGAGAGGTATATTGACGTAAATATTTGGGCAAGGCTTAAACTGAATTATGTGTATATTAGTTTCTTCTTGTTTGTTTTTTTATTTGTCTTTTTTAAAGGGAGAACAGAGAAGAGAGCATGGACATATTATTTTACCAAGTGATTGTGGGCAGTTTGTGGTAGGGGTGGCGGAAGTAAAAAAAAAAAAAATTCTGGTGTTTTTTTTGAGGGGGAGGTTAGGATGAGAGATGTTTCTTTTTTTTTTAAAGAGAGGTTTGGTGGTAGTAAGACATTTTAGATATTATTCAAATGATGAAGGAGGAGATATGGAAGTACAGAAATGAAATTTATTAAAACTTTAATAAAAATAGATACAGAAATGATATTATCACTTGATATTTCAAGTCATATCTTTGTGCGAAAGTTTCGTTGTTAGTGCTCTTTCAGCCTTCCTAATCCTAATATCGAGGGTCCGGAGGTACCCTAGACATACGTGCATCGACTTGTTCCTTCTTTTCGCGTCGTACTTGGGAAGCAGGTGGGTGCGTGGTTGGAGTGCGCCATTTGTACTTCTTCACTTTCCGTTTGTTGTTTCCGTCTTTCTTACTTTTTCCAGCACTAAATGAAAATTATTGCTTCTCTTTACTCAAAGTGTGTGTGTGTGTGTGTGTGTGTGTGTGTGTGTGTTTGTGTGTGTGAGACTTCGTGTGTTTGTGTGTGAGACTTCGTGTGTTTGTTTTTTTCAGCCTTTCTCTGGTTCACTTGTCTTTCGATACCCTAAATCCCTCTCGGTGCCAGTTTTCTTTAGTGGATAGTCTGGAAGCTGGGTTTAGGAATGCATCCTTTCGAGAGATGTATGATACAATTATGAAATGGATTCCGATGAGGCAACACGTACGTAAGCGTCTTGTTCCCACCATGAATCATCGTTTGTCGTGTTTCGGCCCTGTGTGGGGTACAAGAATTTAGCGTTGTGCGGAAAGCTCAATTGATTTTACGCTTTCCAATTTCATCTCATGCCGAGAGCACTAGAGAACCCCACGCGCACGCGCGCAGCAGGACAATGAGTGGTTCAAGCCAAAGCCGGGAAATATCCACACTTCGTTTCGTGGACAGTGAGTAGCCCGTGCGAGGGATTTGGTCCCTGTTCTCGGCAGCGATACACTGTTTTTAAAGACCCACAAAGGCCGAAATTGCTTTCGACTTTCTGACAAGGTGAGTGGTAACGTTGATTTCCGCGTTCGTTAAAACTGTGTCGGACAATTGAGTTACATTGCATTGTATTTGTTAGTGTGATTGGTGGGTAATGGTGTTTAGGCTCTGGTTGTCATTCTAGGGAATTGAGGTGGTTTTTGTCGTTAAAAAAGTTATTGCCACCGCCCTACAATATACTCTCTGACAAACACACATAATCTCTTTTTGCCGATTTTCTTTGCTATGACC